CAGCCCCCTGTCCCTCAGGGTTTATTTTGGGTCTGGGGGTCCACAATCAGGACTCAGGATGATGGGGATGATTTTGGAGGGTCTGGGAGGCTCTGGGGGTCTCACTCCCCATCCCCATTTTGGGGTCTCTCCCCCTCTGGGCCCTCTCCCACCCCCTGTCCCTCAGGGTTTATTTTGGGTCTGGGGGTCCCCTGACCTCAGGGATGATTTTGGGGGTCTGGGAGGGGTCTCACTCCCCATCCCCATTTTGGGGTCTCTCCCCCTCTGGGCCCTCTCCCACCCCCTGTCCCTCAGGGTTTATTTTGGGTCTGGGGGTCCCATGACCTCAGGGATGATTTTGGGGGATCTGGGGGGTCTAGAGGGTTTCACTCCCCATCCCCATTTTGGGGTCTCTCCCCCTCTGGGCCCTCTCCCACCCCCTGTCCCTCAGGAACTGCTCCAGGCGGAGCCTCCTCAGGACCCCCTCCCGAGGGGTCCCGGCGCAGCTCGGCCAGGTGGGGGCTGCCAAAAACACCAAAACCACCCAAATGAGGGGGGTCAGAGGTCCCCGAGGGGTTTTGGGGGTTTTGGGGGTCGGGGGGTCACTGACCCAGCTCTGAGGCGATGGAGACCCTGGTGGGGAGGGGGCCCCCAGGCCGAGTCAGGACGCGGCTCCCGCTGCGGTGCCGGGCCAGGAGCAGCCACGAGCCCTGGGGGAAAAGGAGAAATTTGGGGGTCAGGGGTCTGGGGTCCCAAAATATTTAGGGGGTGTTGAGAAAGTTCTGGAGAAATTTGGGAGGGATTTGAGGGGGTTTGGGGGGATTTGAGGGGATTTGGGGGATTTGAGGGGATTTGGGGGTTGAGGGGGATTTGTGGGGATTTGTGGGGTCCCAAAAATCTTTGGGGGTCCCTGAACCTCCTGGGGGATTTTGGGGGATTTGAGGGTTTGGGGATTTGGGGGCTTTGGGGAGTTTTGGGGGTTTGGGGGTCCTGGGTCCCGTTAGTCGGTGCTGGGCCAGGAGGCGGCCACGAAGCCCTGGGGGGAAAGGGGGAAATTTGGGGAGTCAGGGAGGTCTGGGGGTCCCAAAATCCTTGGGGGTCCCCAAAATCATTGGGAGGTGTTGAGAAAGTTTGGAGAAAATTTGGGGGGAATTTGAAGGGGTTTTGGGGAGTTTGGGGGGGATTTGAGAGGATTTTGGGGGGATAAAAGAGGGATTTGGGGGAATTTGGGGGAAGGCTTGCAAGGAATTTGGGGGGGTTTGGGGGTCCTAAAATATTTTGGGATGGATTTGGGGGATCCCTGAACCCTTTGGGAGGGATTTGGGGGCAATTTGGCCTGGGGGGGGCACAGTGGGGGGACCCCAAAACCCCCAAACCCCCTCCCGAAAAGGCGATTGTGGACTCAAAAATGGGATTTTTGACCCCAAAAAATGGGATTTTTGATCCTGAAAAGTGGAATTTTTTCCCCAAATTTTTTTGGGTTTTTTTCTCACTTTGAGCTTTTTCAGGAGTCGTTTCCTGACCCGGGGGGGGACGTGGGGGGACCCCAAAACCCCCCCAAAAAATGGGATTTTTGAGCCCAAAAAACGAGATTTTTAACCCCAAAATTTGGAATTTTTCCTCCCAAAATTCAGAATTTTTTCCCCAAAATTTTTTTTGGGTTGTTTCTCTCACCTTGAGCTTTTTGAGGAGTCGTTTCCTGACCCGGGGGGGGACCCCAAAACCCCCCCAAAAATGGGATTTTTGACCTCAAAATTTGGAATTTTTCCCCCAAATTCAGGATTTTTGACCCCAAAATTCAGAATTTTTGCCCCAAAATTTTTTTTGGGTTTTTTTTCTCACCTTGAGCTTTTTGAGGAGTCGTTTCCTGACCCGGGGGGGGACCCCAAAACCCCCCAAAAATGGGATTTTTGACCCCAAAAATGGGATTTTTGGCCTCAAAATGTGGAATTTTTTCCCCAAAACTTAGAATTTTTTCTCCAATTTTTTTTGGGGTGTTTTTTCTCACTTTGAGCTTTTTGAGGAGTCGTTTCCTGACCCGGGGGGGGACGTGGGGGGACCCCAAAACCCCCCCAAAATGGGATTTTTGACCTCAAAATTTGGAATTTTTTCCCCAAAATTTGGAATTTTTTCCCCAAAATTTGGATTTTTCCCCCCAAATTTTTTTGGGGTGTTTCTCTCACCTTGAGCTTTTTGAGGAGTCGTTTCCTGACCCGGGGGGGGACGTGGGGGGACCCCAGGAGGGCATCCCAGAGGCGGCTCCCGGGGGGGCTCCGGGCCAGGCCCAGCAGGGCCGGGGGGGGAAGGGCCTGGAGACCCCCCAGGACCCCCCGGGGGGGGACCCCGAAATGGAGCAGCTCCTGCAGGGCCAGGGACCCCCACAATGACAGGGGCAGCTGGGGGAAAAATGGGGGAAATTGGGGAGAAAATGGGGAAAAATGGAGAAAAAAAGTAAAAAATGGGGAAATTGGGAGAAAATGGGAAAAAATGGGGGAAATGGGGGAGAAATGGGGAAAAATGGGGGGAATGAGGGGAAAATGGGGGGAAAATGGCAAAAATGAGGGAAATGGGGGAGAGAAATGGGGAAAAATGGGGAAAAATGGGGAAAATTGGGGAAAATGGGGAAAAAATGGAGGGGAAAATGGGGAAAATGGGGGAAAATGGGAAAAATGGGAAATGGGGAAAATGGGGGGGAAAATGGGGAAAATGGGGGGGAAAAATGGGAAAAAAATGGGGGGAAAATGGGGGGGAGAAATGGGGAAAAATGGGGGGAAATTGGGGAAAAATGGGGAAAAATGGGGGAAATTGGGGAAATAATGGGGGAAATCAGGGAAAAATGGGGGGGAATTGGGGAAAAAATGGGGGAAATTGGGGAAAAATGGGGGAAAAATAGGAGGGAAATGGGAGGGAGAAATGAGGAAAAATGGGGGGGAAAATAGGGGAGAAATTGGGGAAACAATGGGGGGAAAATGAGGGATAGAAATAGGAAAAAATGGGGAAAAATGGGGGAAAATAAGGGGGAAATGAAAAAAAACATGGGAAAAATGAGGAAAAATAGAGGGAAATCGAGGAAAAACGAGGGAAATTGGGGAGAAAATGGGGGGAAATTGGGGAAAAAAGGGGAAATTTGTGAATAAAGAAAAAAAATGAAGAAAAATGGGGCAGATTTGGGGAAGAAATGGGGGAAAACGGGAAAAGGGGGAAAATCGGGGGAAAAGAAGGAAAATTGGGGAATTGGGGAAAAAGGGAAATGGGAGGAAATCAAAGGAAAGGGGTGACAAAAAGAAAAAAAATTTAAAAAAAGAGAAAAAAGCATAAAAAGCTCCACCCTCTCTTGATAAGCCCCGCCCCTTTCATTAAAACCCTGCCCTCAGCCCCACATTTTCCTCAAGCCCCTCCCCTCTCCCCTCAGGCCACGCCCCCTCCTCTTCAGACCCCTCCCCTCCTCCTTTCTCAGCCCCTCCCCCTCAAGCCCCTCCCTTTTCCCCTTAAGCCCCACCCCTTTTATTAGGCCCCTCCCCCTCCTCTTAAACCCCTCCCCTTTTCTCATCCCTCCCTCTTTCCATACGCCCCACCCCTTCCATCAGGCCCCTCCCTTTTCCCCTGGCCCCTCCCCTCACCTCTGGCCCCGCCTCCTGCTGTCCCCGCCCCCAGGGGCGGAGCTGAGCCAGGGCGCGCAGGCATTGGCTGCGGCGCTAGAGGGGTCCCAGCAGTCCAGAGCCTATTGGACGGTAGGAAAAAGGGGCGGGGCTTAGCAAAAAGGGGCGTGGTTCAGAAAAGGGGTGGGGCTTATCAGCAGAGGATGGGGCTTAATATTCATGAAGGGGTGGGGCTTATAAGGGTGAGGGTTGCACAAGGGGGTGGGGCCAGACAAGAGGGTGTGGCTTGAGGACAAAGGGGTGGGGTTTAGCCCGAGGGGAGGGGCTTACAAGTGGGAGGGGTTATAAGGGGTGGGGCTTAACACAAGGGGTGGAGCTTAATACAAAGGGGGTGGGGCTTATCCTGCCTAGAGGAGGAGCAATAAGGGGCGTGGCTTGTCAAGAAGGGTGGGGCTTATCCCAAAGTGGGTGTGGTCATTGCCAAGTGGGTGTGACCTCAGAGATCAACAGGGCGGGGTTTGTGGTGAGGGGTGGGGCATAAAAGGGGTGGGTCTATTGCAAAGGGGGAGGAGCTATTCAAAAGAAGGTGTGGTCATAGTGAAGGGGTGTGGTTTGGGGACCAAGGGGGCGTGGTTTCCACCAAAGGGGGCGTGGTTTATACCAAAGGGGGTGGGGTTTAAACCAAAAGGGGTGTGGTTTGGGGACCCAAATGGGTGTGTTTCACCCAAAGGGGGCGTGGCTTAAACCAAAGGGGGTGTGGCTTATATAAAAGGGGGTGGGGGTTAAACCAAAAGAGGGTGGTTTATACAAAAGGGGGTGGGGTTTAAACCAAAAAGGGTGTGGTTTAAACCAAGGGGGCGTGGTTTCCCGCAAAGGGGGCGTGTCCCCACCTTGAGCAGCCATTGGAGGGCGGGGCCCTGGAGCCGGGGGTGCCTCCGGGCGGCCCCGAGCAGGGCGGTGACCACCCCGGGGTGGCCCCGGGCCAGCGGCTCCCCCAGGGCGGGGCCCAGCTCCAACAGCACCTCCTCCACCTGGGGGGGGAGGGGGAAAAGGGGGCGTGGCCAGGCGGGGACACGCCCACTCGGCCGAGCCACGCCCCCCCCACACACTCACAGCCAATCAAATCTTTGTATTAAGCCATGCCCACCTCTTATGGCCACACCCAATCAGGCCCCGCCCACCGTGCTGATTTTAGCCACGCCCCCTCTCTGCATTAGGCCATGCCCATCCCCACTGACCACACCCCTTTTAGCCCCAACCCTCTCCTCTCTGGCCACACCCACTCACTGCTTTAACCACACCCACGCCCCTTTAGCCCCACCCACCCAATTAGCCCCACCCTTCCTCATTAAGCCCCACCCATTACCCCATTTTAAGCTCCGCTCTCTTAAGCCCCACCCACATAACCACCCTTTTTGCTCCACCCACTCCTTTAACCCCACCCCTTAATCCACAACCCCTTTGGCCCCGCCCTTCCCAGCCAAGCCCCACCCATCCCTTCCCATTAAGCTCCGCCCTTCCCATTCTAATTAAGCCCCACCCACCCACTCCATCAAGCCCCACCCACTGTTTGGCCCCACCCCTTTATTTTGTGCCCCACCCTCCATTTGTCCCCACCCACCCCAGTGCAACACCCCTTTATGCCCCACCCCTTCCCTCTAAGCCACACCCATCTCGTTAACCCCACCCACCATCATTAAGCCCTGCCCACGTGACCACCCCCCTTTAGCCCCACCTACTCTATCAAGCCCCACCCACTGCTTTGGCCCCACCCCTTTATTTTAAGCGCCACCCTTCCCTCTAAGCTACACCTACCTCATTAACTCCACCTATTCTAATTAAGCCCCACCCATGTGACCACAGCCCTTTAGCCCCACCTACTCCACCAAGCCACACCCACTGTTTGGCCCCACCCCTTTTATTTTGAGCCCCACCCACCCCAGGGCCACACCCCTTTATGCCCCGCACCTTCCCTCTAAGCCACACCTACCTCATTAACCCCACCCATTCTAATTAAGCCCCGCCCATGTGACCACATCCCTTTAGGCCCACCCACTCCATCAAGCCACACCCACTGCTTTGGCCCCACCCCTTTATTTTAAGCCCCACCCCTTCCATCTAAGCCACACCTTCCTCATTAGCCCCACCCATTCTAATTAAGCCCTGCCCATGTGCCCACACCCCTTTAGCCCCACCCACTCCACCAAGCCCCACCCCTTCAACCCACACCCTCCTTAACCCCGCCCCTCCCAGCCAAGCCCCACCCACCCCTACGACCCACCCCACTAAGCTCCGCCCCTTGAATTAAACCCCGCCTACCACATCCTCGGGGGCGTGGCCGAGGAGCCTCTGCAGGCCATGATTGGCCACCCTGTGGGAGGCCACGCCCCTCAGGTGCCCCCTCAGGTGCTCCCGGAAGAGGCCCCGGATTTGGGGGGGGTCCAGGACCCCCAGGGCGGCCTCCACCAATCGGCTGCGCTCGGGGTCCTGCAGGGCCCCCAGCAGCCCCCGGGGGGCGGGGCTTCCTCGGGGACACGCCCACCAAGGGCGGGGAGGGGCCGGCCAATCGGGAGCGAGGAGGGAAAACCACCAGCCAATCGGGAAATGGGGGGAGAGAGAGGCAGCCAATCAGCAAACAGGGGGTTAAAGGGGGCGGCCAATGGGGGGAAAGGGGGTGGGGAGCAGCGGCCAATCAGGAAACGGGGGTTGGGAGGGTCGGCCAATGAGGAATGGGGGTGAGGGGGCAGTGGCCAATCAGCACGCGGCATGTGGGAGCAACGACCAATCGGGAAGCAGGGGGTGAGAAGCAGCAGCCAATCAAGACAAAGGATCACAGAGTGGTGACCAATCAGAAAAGGGGGTTTAGAAGCATCAGCCAATCAGCAGAGAGAGTTGAGGAGTAGCGGCCAATCAGCACAAAGGGTCACAGAGCAGCGGCCAATCAGAAAACGGGGTTTAGGAGCACCAGGCAATCAGCATAAAGCGCCACAGAGCACCAGCCAATCACAAAACAGGGTTTAGGAACAGCAGCCAATCAGCACACAGGCTTTAGAAGCAGAAAATGAGGTTTAGAAGCACAAGCCAATCAGATCAAAGGGTCAGAAAACAGCAACCAATCACAAAAAAGGGGGACTCAGGCAGCCCAACCAATCAGAAAATGGAAGGTTGGGACCGCCAGCCAATCAGAAAATGGCGGCTCAAACCGCCAGCCAATCAGAAAGCAAGAGCTCAAACCGCCAGCCAATCAGAAAGCAGGAGCTCAAACCGCCAACCAGAGAGCAGCAGTTCAGAGTGCCAGCCAATCAGAGAGCAGCGTGCGGGAGTAGCGACCAATCAGGAGGCAGCTGGGTAGAAACAGCCAATGGGAGCTCACCTGTCAGGGTGGGCGGGGTCTGGCTGGGTGAGGCAGCCAATGAGGGCGCGGCAGAGGCGGGCGCAGGCCCCTGATTGGCTGTGGTGCAGGGCCTGGAGCGCCCCTGCAGGCAGAGGCCCAGCACAGGCGGGGACAGCAGAGCTAGGGGGGAGAAAGGGGGGTCAGGGGGATTTTGGGGGTCTGGGGGATTGGGGGGTCTGGGGAGTTTGGGGGGTCATGGGGGGGATTTTGGGGGGTCTGGGGGGATTTGGAAAGATTGAGGGGATTTTGGGGGGGTCTGGGGGGATTTGGGGGAATTTGGGGGTCTGGGGGATTGGGGGAAATTTGGGGGGGGTCTGGGGGGATTTTGGGGATTTGGGAAAGATTGAGGGGATTTTGGGGGGGTCAGGGGGGGATTGAGGGGATTTTGGGGGTTCTGCGGGTATTTGGGGGGGCTGAGGTGATTTTGGGGTGATTTAAGGTGATTTGGGGGTGGTTTTGGGTAATTTCAGGGTATTTCACAGCGATTTTGGGGTGTTCTGGGATGATTTTGGGTTATTTTGGGGTGATCCGGGGGTTATTTAGAGATGTTTTGGGGGTTATTTCAGATGATTTTGGAATTTTTGGGGTGATTTAAGGTGATTTTGGGTAATTTTGGGGTGATTTTGGGGTGTTTTGGTGTGGTTTAAGGTGATTTTGGGGTGTTTTTGGGGTGATTTTGGGGTGTTTTGGGGTCTCACAGGGCAGCTCCTCCTCCAGCCCTCGGGCCAATCTCTCCAGCAGGGGGCGGAACCACTCGGGAAGCTCCGCCCCCTTCAGCCTTGGCCACGCCCCTTTCTGCTTTGACCACGCCCCCTTCGGCTTCGGCTCCGCCCCTCGGGGAGGGAACTGGGAAATGGGGGAGTTGAGGGGGAAACCCCTCAGGGACCCCCAAAAACACCCCCAGACCCCCTAAACACACCCCAGAGACCCCAAATTCATTCTGGGACCACCCAAAACACCCTAGAGACCCTAAAACACCCCAGAACCCCCAAAACACCCCAGACCCCAAAAACACCCCCAGAGACCCCAAAACAACCCCAGACCACCCAAAAACCCCTAGACCCCAAAAACATCCCCAGACCCCAAAAACACCCCCAGAACCCCCAAAACACCCCAGAAACCCCAAAAACACCCCAGAGACCCCAAAATTCCTCCCCAGACCACCCAAAACCCCAGAGACCCCAAAACACCCCCAGAGACCCCAAATTCATTCTGGGACTACCCAAAACACCCCAGAGACCCCAAAACACCCCAGAACCCCAAATTCCCTCTGGGACCCCAAAACACCCTCAGAGACCCCAAATCCCCTCCCAGACCCCCAAATTCACTCCCAGACCCCCAAATTCACTCCCAGACCCCCAAACACCCCAGAACCCCAAGTCCCTCCCAGAGACCCCAAATCCCCAAATCCCCTCAAGCCCCAAATCCCCTCAAACCCCCTAAATCCCCTCAACCCCCCAATCCTCTCAATCCCTCCCAAATTCCCCTCAATCCCCCCAAATCCTTCTCAATGCCCCCAACCCCCAAATCCCCCTCCACCCCAAATCCCCCTCAATCCTCCCAATCCCCTCCCACACCCCAAATCCCTCAATCCCCCAAATCCCTCAAATCCCCCAAATCCTCCCACACCCCCAAACACCCCAAATCCCCCAAATTACCCCAACCCCCAAAACCCCCTCACCTGTGCCAGGAAGCCCCCAGGACCCCAGGAGGGCCCTGAGGACGAAGCTGCCGTGGGGGTGGCGGGTAGCCCCAGGTCCTTCCCCACCTCCCCACCGCCCCTCCAGGGCCCCCTCAGCCCCTCCCCCACCCTCCCCCTCCCCAGGACCCCCAGGACCCTCCCCAGGCGGCCTCCACCACCCGGGACCCCCGGGGTGTCCTGGGAGGCCCCAGGCCCCCGGAACAGGGGGGGCAGCAGCAGGGCCAGGACCCCCGGGGGGCAGCGGGGGAGCAGCTCCAGCAGCACCAGGGACCCCCCAGCGTCCAGAGCCACCCCGGCCCGCACGGCGGCCTCCAGCAGCACCTTGGGGTCAGCAGGGCTGGGGAAAGCAAGAATTTGGGGGGTTAGGGGGTCTGGAGAGAGATAAAGGGGATTTGGGGGGTCCTGGGGAATTTGGAGGGTCCTGGAGGGGTTTGGGGGAGATAAGAACGTCTGGGGGGGGATAAAAGGAGTTTGGGGGAGAGTGGGGGTCCCTGGAAGAGTGGGGGTCCCTGGAAGGAGTGGGGGTCCCTGAGAGGAATTGGGGGTCCTAGGGGGTTTAGAGAGGAGTTCAAGGGAGGGAGCAGCTCCAGCAGCACCAGGACCCCCCCAGCGTCCAGAGCCACCCCCGGCCCAGCACGGGCGGCCTCCAGCAGCACGTTGGGGGTCAGCAGGGCTGGGGAAAGGGGGAAAATGGGGGTTAGGGGTAAGAATGGGGTGTAGGGGTCCCTGGAGGGAGTTGGGGGTCCTGGGGGGCTTAGAGGAGTTCAAAGGGAGAGAGCAGCTCCAGCAGCACCGGGACCCCCAGCGTCAGAGCCACCCGGCCCGGCACGACGACCTCCAACTTAGCACGTTGGGGGTCAGCAGGGCTGGGGAAAGCAAAATTCTGGGGTTAGGGGGTCTGGGGGATAAAGAGGATTTGGGGGTCCCTGGGGAATTTGGAGAGGGTCCTGGAGGGGTTTAGGGGAGATAAAAGGGGGTCTGGGAGTTCCCTGGAGAGAGTGGGGGTCCCTGGGGTGAATTGGGGGTCCCTGAAGGGGAATGGGGGGTCCCTGAAGGGGAATGGGGGGTCCCTGGAGGAGGATTGGGGAGTCCCTGGAGGGGATGTGGGGTCCCTGGAGGGAATTGGAGGTCCCTGGGGGTTTGGGGGGGTTCCTGATGGGAGTTTGGGGTGTCCCTGGGGGTTCCCTGGAGAGAATTGGGGTCCCTGGGGAGGTGGGGGTCCCTGGGGGTAACTGGGGGTCCCTGGGGGGGTTTAGGGGGGTTCAAAGGGAGGGGAGCTCCAGCAGCACCAGGACCCCCCAGCGTCCAGAGCCACCCCTGGCCCGGCACGGGCGGCCTCCAGCAGCACCTTGGGGGTCAGCAGGGCTGGGGGAAAGGGGAAATCAAAATTAGGGGGGTCTTGGAGGGGAAAAAGGGGGTCTGGGGGTCCCTGAGGGATTTAGGGGGGTTGGGGGGGATAAAAGGGATTTGGGGGGGGATAAAAGGGGGGTCTGGGGGATAAAAGGGGGTCTGGGGGGTTTAGAGGGGGATAAAAGGGGGTTTGGGGGGGCGGTTGGGGGGTCCCTGGGAGGCTTGGGGGATAAAAAGGGAGTTAGGGGGTAAAAAGGGGGTCTGGGAGGGATAAAAGGGTTTAGGGGGATAAAATGGAGTTTGAGGGGGTAAAAAGGGGTCTGGGGGGATAAAAGAGGGATC